CAACCAAAAATGAACGGTTTATTAGGGTTAACACTGACAGTGATTTTGGCATTAAATTGCATTGATTTGTATGAATGCAATGAATGCAAAGCCGCTGAAAAGAAGTGCAAAAAGTTGGAGGAATTGCAAAGCGATGGCTCATGCTTTGCCACTTGGGCTAAGAATAAATGTCCAGGTACAGTATATGCCTCAGTTGATCAACCTTAGATAACCATTATTAATATATCTATACAATAGATGAGAAATCTGAGATATCTCAGGCCGATGTGGACACGTATAAAACATGTGTGAAAACTCACCTGGAACCTTGTATCGTAAGTGTACACAATATCTGAATATAATAATAACATTTCTAATTATGTTGACATGACCCAGACCGATTCTGTGCTCAAGAGTTTGTACGTGGATTTGTTGAGTAAGTTTGAGTTGACCAAGGTGTGCCATAAGGACGTCCAGAAATCGGTAATTGTGCTCTCAGTTCATTAGGTTATCATTTGTTGATTAATTGAAATGCATTTATAGATTGAGAGTTATGTCGTGAAAGTGGTTGAGAAGAATCCACACATTTTGGACAAAGATAATGAACAGGAGTGCTCTGTGCTCAGGGAGGCCATGGCTAATGTCAAGGTATTTTAATCGTTAATTTTCATAACTATTTGACTATTTACTAATTTCATATCATTATTCATTTATCAATTAGAAATGCGCCAAATTTTAAACTTTTACTAAATCTTTATTGAATTAAAATTTTTAAAAGTTTCAATATTTTTTATTGATAACTATTATTACAATTATTACAAAATAACTCAATTGTAATTAAAGCAATTTTATTTAATAACCAATAAATTAATAAAATATGACTAAAATAATGAATGTATTTATAAAAAAAAGTATTTATTTTTTGATTAACCAAATGGCGGGCCACTCCCGACGGTAGTCATATCAGATACTGAGCTCATAAAAACAGATACTACACTAAGCTAGGTCTACTTACTTTGATATTAGCCAAAAAGCCGAGAAGCGATAGCTACCTGTACAGTACACTCAACCACACTCCCCATCCACTTTTATATATTTCCTATTATAGTTTCTAAACATGTCATTTAAACTCATAATTAGCATAAAATCCAATTAAATGTAATTTTTGTTGACAAACATCACAGTTGGTGATTAAATAATAGATAATTATGTATAATAATTATTAAATTAAATTTATAATTTTGTAATAAATAAATAATAAGACTAGTTCATTTATATATAGTATATATATTATAGTAAATCTCATTTCCAATGCAAATGTACCAAAAGATTGTGTGCAATCAATGTACCCGTAAAGTATCATATGCTAAGGTTTTGTCCATTATGACTTTAATCCCAATTCTTCCAAGGTACATTAAGAAATTTAATAAAATTATTAATTGAAGTTTTTAAACAATCAATTGCTTTCAACAATAAATAGTACGAGGGTAGGACAGTATTTGTAATTTTGAGTGATTAATTATTAATAGTAGTTAATAAAACTGCACATTTATTAAAATAGATGACAAATTGTGATTTTAATTTGCATAAATTAAATACCCAGAGCATAATACGTGTGCAAACAAGGAACATTATGTGTGGACAGCATTGGAAACGTATGCAATGATGTAAATTACCAAGAGATATTATTGACTTAACTGTTAATTTGTGATCATTTGAAAAATATTTTGTTAATTACAAAAATATGTTTTATTTATTTTAATGTGTAATTTATTTAGTCAGGATATTGTTCTGTTTAATAATTAGATTCACTTGGTATGTATTTAATAAACTGAAATTTTGATTTCTATAAAACAATGGACATCTTAATCAATAATAAAACGCACTATGGACATTATTGTCAAAAACAATACCATTTAAAAATTAATTTCGTAATATGAGACATTTTTATTTTTTAGCACATAACACTAATTATAATTATTGTTTTATATTTGTATTATTTTCTAAAAAATATCTCTATATATAAATGACACGAAAAAATAATTTATATTTATAACGTAAATTAATTCGTTACACTAAAACATAACCAAAATGAACAAGCTCATGACATTGGTTGCCTTTGTGGCCGCACTGTTCGCGATGATTGACTGCAAGTGTGATATGCTTAAGGAATTTAAGCCCGAGTTTGATGAGATCCAGTCGTGGGCTAAAAAGCGATGCGATACCAGTAAGTGATCATGGTCAATGACTCATTGAGTATTTCTAATAATTTTTACTATCCTTTAATTCATAAATCATAATATGTTTACAACGATTTGATTAGACGCGGCTCTAAGTCAGGCCGATATGGATAAGGCAAAGGGCTGTTATACCGCGAACATCCAGCAGTTTATGCAAAGTGCTGATGGAAAGGTGGTCGACAAGTTCATAGACCAACAGATTTTCATCAAGGAAACACTCGACGTGTGCACTAATAAAGCCACTCAGGATAGGGTTAGTATAGAAAACTTACCTGTTACATCATATAAATTACTCTAATTAAATTGCTATTCTGTCCTTGCTCAAAACAACCAGATTAAGAATAAGGGTATGTCTGATGTGGGCGTTTCCCGGGGTATGAAACTCAAGAAGGAGGTGGAGGCTGACTGTCCTAAGTTCAAGGGAGGCTTCCAGGCGTATAATGTAATTCATTTGTCTCATTATATTTATTATATTTATTATAATATTTGTTTGTATTTTCTAGAAATGTGTGATGAAATAGTTTTCATAACTATTTATGGACGCCGACAACAATAACTATCTATTTGCTAATAAAAATAAAATAAATCGTTTATTATCTGTTCACCATTTTGTATTTAAATAATTTTATTAAAAATTTAATTTGATATCAATAATATCTACAAGATAGAAAGGATTCAAATGATTTACAATTAATAATTATTTTGTTTAAAAGTTTAAAACTAAATAGTAAGTTTGAATTAAACTATTTAAAATAAGTTTTATTATTTTCAATTATTATTAAACTTTTAGTTTAACAAATTATCAAGAGTTTTAATATTAATGTTATAAATATAGTACAGTAGTATCATATTAATAATAATTCTGTATAATAGTGTGCTTATATTTTTAAGTAGATTTTAAAATAATAAAGCAATTATTTAAAAAATTATTTATTTTTTAGATTAAATTGATTATAATGTATACAATTACTAAATTAACACACTTTAATTACTGTATTAATAAAATTGATTTGTGTTAACTTGTAAGCATAATCTTATTACATTGATGCTTAACTATAGAGTAAGGTCATGTGTTTCAATATATCTGATGTTAGAAAGCAAATTGAGGTTTATATATAGGCTAAAAATCCTTTATACTTTACTCGAAATCAATGACAAATATTTAAATTTTTAGCTTATATATAAACCTCAATTTGCTTTCTAACATCAGATATAATGTGTGAATATACAGTAATAAATTTCATTGAAAATAATGAAATTTGACATTATAATAAATACAATTATTTGTTAAGTATGTGTTGAATCTCTGTGCAAATTTATTATGTCATAAGCCTTTCATATAATGTATTTATTACATTGTAGTCATTAATTTAATGAATGAAATTGAATTATAATATATCTACACAAATCAAAGCAATTTTATTTCCATGAAATTATTTGTATGTATGCATACAAATACAGGTGAGTTAAGATTATTTGTAAATTACACATGTAGCTCATGTACCTGGACGAATATTTTAACTTTATTTTTATTGTTATCCAGCACAATGCAAGGCATTATTAATAACTTATTATTGAATAAATATAACATTTCTAATTCTTTAGGTTTTTATTCAGAATTTTAATATTTATTATTCCATAAAATTAAATGAGTAATATATCTGAAATTTTTAATTTGCGACAAAATATTATAAAATGAAACAAATTTTAATATTTACGGGTTTAATTGCCATTTGCAGTGCGTTTATTAGCGACTCGTTTATTAGCGACTCGTTTATTAATGTAAATATTAATATATTTGGTGACAGTATTGATGAAACTGAGTACCAGGGTCGGTTCTAACTTTGTGACATGAAATTAATCAGAACAAATATCTATAACTTTTTATATTATTCCAGATGATTATACCGTAACAGTAAGCAAGCAAACCGGACAAGCAATTAATCAATCTAAGGTAATTTCATAAATGTTTATTTTTCTTAATTAATTATCTGATTAAATTATTTGTAAATTCAATTTTTTTTGTCATATTTAAGGCCAATTTCTATAGTATGGAAAGTAATTTACAGCCATTTTCCGACACTTTACCCATACATGAATGGAGTGGTAAAACTACAAAAACTAATGTGTTTTATTTATTTAAATGATTTAACTGTTACTGTAATTGTCTTAAACTACTNGCCAATTTCTATAGTATGGAAAGTAATTTACAGCCATTTTCCGACACTTTACCCATACATGAATGGAGTGGTAAAACTACAAAAACTAATGTGTTTTATTTATTTAAATGATTTAACTGTTACTGTAATTGTCTTAAACTACTGTATATTCTAAGAATAATTAAACATTATTATCTGTAAGCATTTATATATAGTAGTAATATTTGTTTAAAAATTGTTTATTGAAATATTTTTAATTTAAACATTAAATATTTATCCACATAACACTTTAATTAACATGTTAAAATAAGTGTTTGTAATATAAAACCTAAAATCTTTAAAATAATAGAATATACCATATAACTATTTATTATTTAATAGTTATACAATTTAATGTATTTATAATTGAAAATTATTTTTCAGATACTTGTTTTCAAAATACTTATAAACAAACAATAATTAATTAACTTCATTTCAAAATTGTATATCAAAAAGACTTATTTTATTGTTTTATTAATATATTATTGACTAATGGGAAAATTAACGTTAATTAAA